TCCTGCAAGCGACAGAAAAGATCTCAAACGAAATGGCCGCCCGGGTTGGCGAGAGTGTGAAGGGAAACTTCTCAAACGATCATGATGCGCTTCAACTGTTGTGCCTCCATGCAGCAGGGCTGCGCATGCGCAACGGTGCCGAGCGCCTGCGGCAGCCTGCGACGCGCCTCGCCCCCGAGAGGCAACGCACTGCCGGCTGCCTCGGCAGCGGAGTGCAAATGAGTTGCGACATATGAGATCTTGCATTCTGCACGGAAACATCGCACGGCACCGCAAGACGTGCCCCGCAAAGGTTCATCAGCTATTCACTCATTTTTGATTTTGATTTTGCCTTCTGGTCGTCGTTTATAATCACAAATTTGAAAGGGCTCAGCGACTGGACTCTTCGCGAGGAACGCTGCGAATAAAGTTGAGACATTCCAGCCCTTGCTGGCCTGATGAGCGAGTGTGATTCTAGCTCGTCGCCTGACGTGCCGCACACGTTCAGGTGGCTCGAGCCTTTCACGGCCCTCAACCATCTCGCGTTGGGCCATGAAACATTATTCAAGTCACCAGTCATTTGCAATTTAGGTGGCCTCAGACCTGGCCCTAGATACAGAAGGTTGAATGCTTCTAATTTCGATACTTTGGCCCTTCATCCTCGATCAGTTTACAAACGCGCCTCAAAGGGAGCTCGTACCACGCAAGCGTGGTCATCGCCTGAAGCCCATCCAGATCGACGTGCCGTGTGGCTTGCCTGACGCATATATTCTGCCGAGGGCCGGTAATTTAGCGTTGAAGCGGTGTCAGCTGCAAACGTCTCAATCGAGCGGCAGGAATCTATTGCGGTTGAAGTCGCTTCCCAAGAACGCGGGGTCCCATCCATCAAATTCTTGCGCACTTAGCACGCCATAAGTCGTCGCCTCTGTGCTTCGTTAAAGCTGCCCAAGCACCCCACAAATCTCGGGACGATCCTGACATACCTCGGCGCGTGGCATTTGAGAGGTGAATCATAGCAGCCCACGTCTTTAGGACCGCTGACGGGGTGCACTTTGCTCCATCTTGGTCGGCGAAGAAAGAGTCCTCGTTCCTGGTTTGCGCCGTCATCAGGTTAAAGCTTCCTCACTCACGCTCGTACCCTGGATACTGCTCACGCGCTGCCCCAATCACGACATTGAACGGCGCTTGGATCAAAAATTTGATCATTTGCGTAACGGAAGCCGGGCTTGGCAAGCGGCTGCAGCTTTTCACTGGGTTCCATTGACTTCCACGCGACATTCAGTCATTCGAGGCTGTGTGCCGACAAGCGCATTCAGAATGGCCTCAAGCTCCCGAGCTTGGAGCGCTCCTGTGCGAAGTCGAAGCTAGAGCACGGTCGGCTATGAGGGAGCGGACGCAGCTCGGCTGAACAACAAGGAGCGGTCGGCGTCAGATAGCTCATTTATGAATCAAGGGCGGCGCTGATTTTGTTTGGGAAGGGGTTTGAAGGCGCTGATCGAGCAATCGTGAAGGTCATGTTTTGAGACAGACGCATGCAGTCCAACCACTCGATGCGAGCGCGAACTTTTGACAAGCAAACCCACTTCGTTGCATCCAGTGCAGCGCGCCAACAGCTGAGCCTACAGTAGACTCACGACTGGCACTATGGTGTTTACTTGTCAATGTTGATGGCATTTCTGCTCGAATCTGTGCAAGAATCTCGTCTCCACATTCACGCGGGGCAAACCCGTGAATGAGCTAGTATTCTAGCCACCTCCGGCACTTGATCTTGTCTCTTGTCGGAGCCTCGTCTGACAGATGCTTGAGTTTCTGACCAAATGTGTCAGGCAAGCGCAATGAGTCGTTCGGACAGGCGTGCCCGTGTTTCACGGGGTCGTGAGTCGACCGGCGAGCTGCGTGCAGCGTGCCTGCAAAGCAAGGCATGGCGGAGCTTCGTCTTCCAATTTCAACAGCCACCAGCGCAGCCCTCGAGACTGCTTTGCGTGATCGCGTTTGGTCCGATTCGCTGACGAGGTATGGCCCCTGGCGCGCTGCCCTGCTCTGAGCGTGTCGGTCAGGTAGCGGTGATTCATGTCCCTGTGAGCTCATGTTCAAGATTACGATTTCCGCATCAGCAGCTCAGAATCAGAATCTGCTTCTCCTAGAGGTTTTGCATGGCCTGCCATTGCCAGGGAGATTTGGGTTCACGGAGGCGCGTCGCGCCTAGCGTCCAAAGTAGAAACCTGGTGTCTTGACACGCTAACGATGCCGCCGGCTCCATTAGTGCACGACGCCGTCCAGCTTAATGGTGGACGAATCAAGCTAGCCGGCGTCAGCAGCGTGGGTTCAGGGGTCGTTTTCCCGTCGCAGCGACCACTGACTAAGGAGGATATGGGCACACACGTAGCGACATTTGTTTTGTGTGCGCTGCTTCCTCCGATCCCAGATAATTGGCAGCTACAGGCGCGAGCCGCAGTGAGCACTTGATCTCATAAGAGGCTTGAATGGATCATCTGGACCTTGAAGTGTCTCGCAGTCATCTAAACCAAAGCTTGCGTGCCTAGCCTGCTGGATCCTTTCAGTGTCGTGAGTGATCCAACCACCATGCGCGTAGTCTCGCACTCGCACCACTTCAGCCCCGCAGATGCGGCGACGTGCTGGCTTGTGGCAATCATCTTTGCCATCCTAGCCATCTTCGTCGTCGCCTCAGACACAGCACATCCTCTTGATCACGAGCACGTCTCGCCAGACCAGGAACGCGGCGGCACGTCGGCACTCCACCGCGCCAGATCCGTTGTTGAGCGTCAAAGGAGACAGACTCATTCTCACGTTGAGATGGGCAGAAAGGCGCGTCACTTCCACCACAAGCACGACAGGCCTGTCGCCGCTGTCTATCGCGGACCGGTCGGCTGCGAGGGATGCTCGGAGAGCGTTGCCAAGCTGCTCAGAGATTCGCCTCCCCACTTCCGCGTGCACTATCTTGGTCCAGACGAGACTCACGACGTGTCCCCGCAGACTCTCAGCCACCTTGACCTCTTCGCATGGCCAGGTGGCGGTGATGATCAGAACGCCGATTATTTGAAGGTGGCCAACTACACAAAGGCACTGCGAGACTTTGTCAGCGGTGGCGGTAAGTACGCAGGATTTTGTATGGGCGCCTTCCTGGCAAGAGGACAAGCGAGCAATGAGACATTCTTCGGACTGCTTCCGGAAGGATCATGGGTCAGCTCGGAGCGCTTCGAAAAGAACGCCCAGGTCAAAGGCGATGAAGACACCATCATTCTTACAGACTGGACTTTCCACACTGGTCCCAAAAAAGGAACGACTGAAAAAGATAGATGGCAATACTTCCAGGATGGTGGCCTCGTTCACCTGGGCCCGAACGTCCCGCCTCAAACAATCATCAAAGGGCATTACACCTGGACCAATGACGTCTGCTCAGCCATCATCCCGTACGGCAAAGGTCAGGTCGGACTTGTGGGAGTGCACCCAGAGGCTGGTAAGTACCGGCTCAACAGTGTGTGTGAAAGACGACACGCTCTCACGCTTGTCTCCCTCGTCCTTATCTAGACAAAAGTTGGTACTCCGACTGGAACGGGACCAACCCCCAAGGCATCAGGTTCGACATTGGTCACGATTTCATTGACACACTGTGGCGAGCGGACGAACTTCAGGCCCACCCAGTGCCGAGCACCACTACATCGACGTTGCCAACGGGGACCTCAACCGCACCTACTCGCTAGGGAGCAGAGCGCCTTTGCACACCATCTGATCGACTGCTTCTGCCTGTCTGGAAGCCCGTGACTGCAATAGAGTTTTCTGTTAATGATATGCGCTGTTCTCCTCCTCTGGTACCGTCCACGTAGGCACCATGGACCCCGCAACCGACATGTACGGTGGCCAATAAGAGGCGGTGGGAGCTCCTCATATTCTTGATTGTCGTTCCAGGGTCTGATTGCGCTGTTCCGACAAAAAGCCCACATTCGTGAGCGAACGCGGCGAGCCTGTCAGAGAGCGAGGCTGGTCGTAAAACGCAGGAACTCTCAGTGTCGAGGCTTTTCTATGGGTCGGAGATGCGTCTACGATGGTATTCCGCGGCACGGGTCCAGACCAGAGTCCGATCAAGTGGCGCTTCCACGAAAGCCACACGCGACTTGCGGTCTTTGAAATCGCCAAGCGGGGCGCGCGCAGCCGTTTCGAGCGTGCTTTGATCTCTCTTCGATGTCAGTGATGGCCGCGGATGCTCTACCGGCGGAGTGAGGTCATGTATCCTTCACACCGTGTCGTCAACGTGCCTGATGCCGATTTGCCAGCAATTTTGGCCGATGAATCGTGAATGTATCTAGGCTGTATGGATGGATTGGATGGGAGTGGATGTAGGCCCAATCCTCGTGCCGCGCGCGGCCGCTCCTGGCTATCGTGATGTGTGGCTAAAGGAAAGTCTACCTTCGTCTCACTTCGCATGCGTCACAGTCGTAAGTCTTTCGCATTTGCAAGTGTCTGAGATGATGATTGGCACAGCAAGCCAACCCTATGAAAGGGGCTTCGTGTCATGCATCTGCCACGTAAGCCTCTCACACCGCGTGGCTGATCTTGGATCGGGTCGCTACGTTGGCACCAGCTGGTAACATTGTACGGCGAGCGTTGACGGGTCTGAGCGGAGCTGGTGAGCCCTTGAGCTGCCATCACAACGTGTTCCTTTAGACGCGGACTCTAGAGGTAGCAGGCGTTCAGAAGCGCACGAAGATACGCACACAGCCGGAACACGACTCAGCTTCGGGGCTTGACCGGCTGTCCAGATGACAGCCAGCCACAAGGTAGGGTGAAAGCGGTGGCGCAGCGCCACCCGCAACAGAAATGACGCCTCAATTGGTGATCTCGAGCTGAACCGTTGTCT